TACGATCTTTGGATTTTGCCAGATTCTTATTGGACTTTGCAGTGTTCAGTTTTCCTTTGAAAAGAATCTGCAAATGTTAAATTCTATAAATTTTAAGGATTTTTTGGTGTTTTTATGAAAAACTGATCTTTGAAATTTTGAGTCTTTTCTTTGCAAATTTTCTAATTCTTCTCTAAAGAAACTTTAAAAATCTTAATTTATTGATACAAAACTTCTGATTTTTCCAAAGAAATACGATTGTTATTGCGACTTTTAAGTCTTGCTAAACCTTCTATATCATGACGTGTTCTGTTTTTTTTTTTTTTTAAAGAATCTGCAGATATTGTGGTCTTTAGATTATGTAAATTTTAGGGATTTCTTAGTACTCTTATGAAAAAATTCCAGGCTCTTGAACCTTTTATGCGTGTGTGTATGTGTATGTGTGTAATGAACCAAGGTTGATCTATTGTACCCCTCCTTCTGCTGCTAAGTTCGGGTTTTCTGGGATCAGAATCGCTGAAAATTTCAGCTTTCTATCTAAGTATAATGATAAAAAAAATTATGACCTTTCAAAGTTTTCCAAAATCTAAATCATAATCACTTCTTACTAAAACGATGAAATTTCAATTTTTTTTTTGTTGAGATTCTATGTCCTAATGGTCTATTGGGATCCCCCGAACTCCATACACTAAATCAGTGGCGGCTCGTAACTATTTCAAGTGAGGAGGCTAAAAGATTTTAAAGATTTTCAGTGATTATGATTTATGAATTTTGCGAGAGATTTTTGGGTTTACAGAAAGATTTCTGAAAAATTCCGAAGGGATTTCGCAGTAATTTCGTGGATTTCGGATGAATTTGTGACACGTTTTCGGGGAGTGATGATTTCATCAGAGTTCTTTGAAATTCCATTAAAATTTTAAGTTATTCTATGGGAATTTCGCGAAAATTTCAAATAATTCCATGGAAATAAATACCTTAACATTTCATTAGAAGATTTTATGGAATTCCTCGGAATTCCACTAAGATTTCAATTTCAAAATTCCATTTTTTTTAACTTTACTAAAATTTTTCAAAATTTTACTATTTAGAATTCCACAAAATTTTCATAAAATTCTACGGAATTTCATTGACATTTCATGTAATTTCTTAAAAATTTCTCAGAATTCACTAAAATTTTATGAGAATATCCACGTTCATAACCGAAAATTTCTCGAAAGTCCAATGAAACTTTAAGGAATTTTCAAAATTTAATTTATTTTCATAAGAATTTTTCGGAATTTCACTGAAATTTTAATTGCCAGGAATTTCTGGGAATATTAATGAAGTTTCAAGTAATTTCTTAAAAATTCATCGAAATATATTGAAATTTCATGTCATTACATGGGAATTTTTCGGAATATCACCGAAATGATTGGGTTTAAAATAACCTATAAATCGAGATTTGATGAAAACATATGGCAACACTGCTCATGATACAACAAACGTCAAAAAATTGAAATATCAAAGTAGGCCTTGGTTTTTTTGACAGTCGATATAAAATGGCGTCTTTTTGTTTCAAAGATTACGATCCGAAGGGCCTGTTGGGCTCGTATTACTCCGGCCCTTCGGGTTCGCATGATTCCGGCCCTTTGGACTCGTATAACCTCGGCCCTTTGAGCTTATAATTGGGATAACTTCAGCCTTCCAGAATCGAGATTCGAAAAAAAAAACATATGGCAACACTGTTTATAATACAACAAACGTCAAAAAATTGGCCCTGTTTGGCTACTTTCTACGTATTCGCCGAGGCTAAATCTATATGCCCATGTGGGTTTTTTAAAATTTTGACAGCTTTCAATCTGTGTTTTTTCCAAAAAACAAAGGTCGTTTTTTAGTGGGTTTTAAGGTGAGGTTTATGTAGCAACAGTTGGTACAAAAAATTCAATTTCCCGTCGGGTTTGGAATTTGAATTTTTTGAATTTTCCCGGCTCCTGATTGGTTTGGAGATTCGAATTTTGATTATTCCCGGCTCTTGATTGGCTTTAAAATAACCTATAATCTCGGCCCGTCGAGCACGAGATTTGAAAAAAAATCATATGGCAACACTCCTCATGATACAACAAACGTCAAAAAATTGAAATTTCAAACCTTGGGTTTTTTTGACAATCGATACAAAATGACGTCTTTTTGTTTCATAGATTACGGCCCGAAGGGCCGGAGTACTAAAATCAGTTAACAATGAACGGGTTCGTTCGGATAAAACTTTTGTCGTACGACACTTTGGCATTATTGTCACCTGTCAAAATTTGACACATGTTTAACTTTTTCCCCGCTCTACTATAAAAGCTACGAAAATCAAACTCCGGTACAAGGCAGTTTCACGACGCCAACTATCAATTTGTGACAAAAAAATTTGATAGCTGTCAACGGCAAAAAAGTTTTTTTTTTAATTTTGCGAATTTCGATAAAAAAAAAGTGGTTGAAAACGATCCCCGGACCCCAAAAACCTTGAATAAAAATTCTAAAAAAAAACAACGAAAATGACATTCCAAAACCTACTTGATAAAACTAAAGTTTTTCTCACTTACCCCGTTAAAACACTGGAAATTTTTGGTGGAAAATGAAGAAAATTCAAAGCCTCGTAATTTAAATCGGTTTTCCCGACCGAAAAACCCCTAGAACGGCGGAAAATCTAGAGAAAAACCTCTAAAAATTACATTGTAAAGCCTGCTTGTTAAAACTAAAATTTTTAATTGGCTCTTCTAAATTATCCGCTGACCAATAGAATTATAGACTGAGCCCCGTGATTAAAATAACTGTAGCCCTTCGGGCTCGCGTATAATTCCGGCCCTTCGGGCTCGTATTACTCCGGCCCTTCGGGCTCGTATTACTCCGGCCCTTCGGGCTCGTATTACTCCGGCCCTTCGGGCTCGTATTACTCCGGCCCTTCGGGCTCGTATTACTCCGGCCCTTCGGGCTCGTATTACTCCGGCCCTTCGGGCTCGTATTACTCCGGCCCTTCGGGCCGGTATTATTGAGTATCCCAGATTCACAGATTTTTGTCGTGGAGACGCGGGATTGATTGAAATAATGTTGTCAGATTTTTCTAAATTACATTGAAATATCGAAAATTGGAATTCTGTTGTGTAATTTGTAAATTATTATTTTAATTAGAAATCAGGAATGAAAAAATAAGATTGACTTTTCAATTTTTTGGAGGAGGTTTAGCCTCCCCTGTCCCCTCTGACGAGCCGCCACTGCACTAAATTATTCTGAAATTTGAAGCCGGATTCTATGAAAAAAGGCACTCAGAAAAATTGAAAAATCGTTAAATCATCCCTCTTGCTTAACATAATTTTATCTCAGGAACTATAAGTCCAAATGAACTGAAATTTTGAGAGATTGTAGTCCGCTACTGGGATAAGAATCTCTGAAAATTTTAGCTTTCTATCTATAATAGAAAAAAAGTTATGACCTGTCAAATTTTTCCAAAATCTAAATCATAAAGTTACCTTCTTACTAAAACGATGATGAAATTTCAATTTTTTTTTTTTGTTGAGATTTTGTGTCCTTAAAGTCATCGGAGTCCCCCAAACTCCATACACTAAATTATTTCCAGATTTGAAGCCGGATTCTATGAAAAAAGGCATTCAGAAAATTTCTAAATTTCAAGATAGCCATTTTGATAGCCAGAGGAGATCTCAAAACTAATTCTTATTGAGTAGAGGGGGTCAAATTAAACAGAAAATACCTCTTGGTATTTTCTCATTTAAGGCTTCCTAACCCCGGAAAAAAATTCAAGAAGAAAACTCCAAAATTGTATTTCCCAACTTGACATGGCCCCATTAAATAGGCCATAACCCTGGAACGTCTGGACCAATTTTAATGAATCATGTTTCAATCGAAAGAGGGTTAAATTGGCTACAAAATGATCCAATTCAATATCAATTTTACGTCAAACATTATGATTCTGTGATTAGAGAGCGAGAGGATTTATTGAAGACTCCAATTCCTGATCATTTGGTCAACATTTGAACTACAAAGTGTTATGTCTAACATCTCCTGTCTGACCCTAGTAACAAATGTTGGTGTATTTCCTACATAAAGTATATTTAGGTTTATTTGAAAAATAAATTCTAACAGTTGCTTACCTCTTAGATTTGTGTCGGTACTGAACCTTTTGAAATTTAAATCAAATAAAACAAATAAGAGAGAAAATAAAAAAAAATCAAAAATCTTGGAAAGAAAAATTCCAAAAATGAGTGTAAAGTTGCATTTTATCAACGAATTTACTGTCCCAGAAAAGTTCGATTAAAAAAGTATCTGACATAAAAGTTTTCAAAATTTCTTGATTCTTCTGTGAAGAAATTCTCATTGATACAAACCTGGTTCTTCCATCAAGAGACGAGATAATTACGATCTTTGAATCGTTCTAGATTTTTATTTGGACCTTCTATCATGGAGTGTTGATGTGTTTTCCTTTGAAAAGAATCTGCAGATGTTGAAGGTCTTTGGATTCTATACATATTTAGGATTTCTTGATGCTTTTATGAAAAAACTCTGGAAATTTTCCAAATTCTGAGTCATTTTTTTTGAAAATTTCCTGATTCGAAACTGTGAAAATTTTGATTTTTCTGTAAATGTTCAAACCTCCTGGGTTCTTTCAAGAGACAAGATTATTACGATCTTGGACCTTTATATCAAAATTTGAAATCTTAAATTCTACAAATTTCGGATATTTTTTGGTAGTTCTAATTCCAGAGAAACAAACTTTCTGGATTTTCCACAAAAAATCAATTGCTGAATCTTTTTTTGATACCCAGTTGTCCGGATTCAAACCAAATTCAATCCATAAGAGATATTGAATTGAATTTTTCAAGCTTTAAAAAACTTGCATTGGAAAATATTTTCAGGTTTATAGTTTTTGAAAAAATTGAGTTTTTGAATAAATATCGATTGTTGATTTGTTCAAATTTCAATGGAAATATATGTCATAATTTCAAAAAACATCAACCATAAACATTATTCTGTCTTTTTTGTAGGCGATTATCCAGATCCATTAAAAATCAGCTTCAAACATTTACCACACAACCTACGATCGGGCCTGCCTTTCCTCACTCATGATCCCGAACCAGAAACCCACCCGACAATCTCAGAAACCCAAAACATGAGACCGTATCGGAAAAGACCTTTCGCTTGTCTTCTGAACAACGACAACAATAGCGAAGATTCCGATATACATCAGGTAATAATTTTGAAGTTTATTAAAACTATGATTGTAATAAAGTTTTGTTTGCCAGGCCGCAATTGAAAATGGCGAACAAGTGGAAAAGGAACTTGAAGTCAAAAGCAAAAAGACTTGGAAAAGGAAGATATCGAGGAAATTATACCGGCATCACAATATCAAACTATTTACACCAAATGAATGTAAGTAAAATCGTGAATCCATTTGAAAAGTTTCTTTTCTTCCTTATCTCAGTGTTTGAATTATCACACAATAGGTATAATTTCTCACAATACTTTTCGATTAATCAGCAAATTAATGCAACTGTGTAATCACAAAAAAAAAAATTATCATAATACTCCTTTATCTTATCGGTTCCTGAAATCCTACAATTAAAAAGATAAAAATAATATAGATATATTTTTTTTTCTGAGGCCTCATTCATTTGAAATATAATTTCCTTAAAATGCTATAAAGGACTATGGGTTTTCAATGATTATATTATCCAGACTGGCAGGGGCCGGATTTGCAAATGTGCAGCCATAAAATACCTAATAAAAACATGAAAATAACAAATTTAATGACGAATGGGTATATGGGGCATGAAGGACATTTTTCGGGTACCTGCATAAGATTGAACTATATATAGTTTATTTTTTTGCAGATCGTATTCCATCGTTTTTGAAACAAATCGAGTCCGGCCCCATAAAACAGCCAGTAGTAGTGCCCGAGCCTTTGGAAGCAGTAGTGCCGGTTTCAAATGAATCGATCACCGAAGATATCGTTAATACTTTGGCGGGACAAAAACAGCCTGTAAATGGGTCTAGAATAGATTATTTAGAAGAGAACAATAATAATATTCAGAATGTTAATAACAATCTTGTTGGGAAACATCATTTGCCAGGTAAGAATTTTCTGCTGCAATAACAATATATCCAGAGATGTTATCATCTTCTTCTGGATAATTTATTTTAGGCTCAGATAAGCAAAAGTGCTTCTTTAAGTTGGTTCTATGTAGGTATATCTGAAACATAATATTACTTACGTAATTTGTTTATTTGGATAGTTGATGAGAAACTGTTTAAAATAAATTATAAGTACAGAAACTTTTTTAAGGTGGTTATTAAAAACAGGGTGACACCAATAGCGTAAAGGGTGATCTATTATAAATATCACCCCTTCTAACTTTTTCATTTGACATTTTTGACAAAAGTGTCACATACAAAAATTTCAAGAAATTGTCGAAAGTTTTTAATTAATTCAGGGTTCGTCAAAAAAAATGCCGCAGTGTAAATGTTTTGAAATGGAACACCCTGTATAGGGTTGGCAAATGACAATAAAAATGTAGATAAGTATCTTTTCTATATAGTGTCTCTCTGCCCTACCATCAATGCCTACTCGAGTATTTAACGCGAGCAATTTGACAAATGACCGGTCAAATACTAGGTCAATTGAACGAAAAATATTTGACCGGTCATTTGTTAAATTGCTCGCGTCAAATACTCAAGTATAGGCATTGTCAGTCAAATTGAGTGTCAATTGACAATTTTTGACTGGTCAATTGACCGAAGGTGGAATACCTATTATAATAAATCCAATAGGTGTCCAAGTTATTATTATTACCTACATATTTTTAAAAAAATAACATAAGAGATAGGAAGGGATTTTTGAGTTTTGCTCTTTAACTGTTGGAGATCATCCAAGAGATAAACAAAACAAACCGTATCGTTAAAATCAAGTTGAAGGGGACTAACAAATAAGCGCAAAATATACAAGATGTTCCATTTTAAAAAAATATAACTTATCACTGCTGCAATTTTTTGACACATCCTGTATGCCTAAAACTAACTTAGGCTGTGGTTCGAATAAAACCTGGTACAGCACAGTTCAGCACGCTTCAGATTGGATGAGAATTCAAGACGATCTCATGCAAAAAATGCGAAAACTGGGGTGCGACTGAGGTAAGGTTCATCCAAAAGGTATCAAGAAGAATTCCTTACTTCTGCTTGGAGTGCGCGCAGGAAAAAACAGGAGCGATACATAAACAACTGGAGACAGCGAGTAAGGAGAATAAAAACTTAAAAGTAAGAATGGAGTTGATGGACAGGGAAATCCGCGAGAAGGAATCTGAATTGCATTTTTTAAAGGATGAAATTGAGATTTTAAGACAAGAAAGGACAGAGATGGAAAGTTGTCTAAGGAGAAAATTAAAAGCTACTGTTGATTTTGAAGATGAGGTTTTTGCCGCCGAAGAAAATTTGCAAAGGGAAATCAAACAACAAAGTTCAGAGCTAGAAGATCATAAAATTACGATCTATAATCTAAAAAAGGAAAATTTAAGCCTAACAGAACAAATTCAGGATTTACTTGCTAGTGCCGAGGAATATAAAAAGGGGATTAGAGATCTGAAGAATGAATTGGATGATTTGTCTAGCGTGAAGAACGATATGTTACAAACAATAAGAACACTAACTCAGGATAACGAAATATATATGAGGGATTATAAAGAGAGCCAACGACAATTGTTTCTACTACAGAATTCAGTAGTGAACATTAATAAGGATACGAGTCCATCAGTATCGTATGTATCTACGCAATGTAATTTACTCGGAAACACAGAGGAAGATCAAAAAGGACTTAAGGATACTGACACAGAAAAGTCTAACGAACAACGTAAAATTCTTATAATAGGAGACAGCACCATTGTGGATCTATATAAGGCATTGGAAAGGCAAGCAACTCTAGAAGAGTATAAAATAATCAGTATTGTAAAACACAACGCTCTACTAGAAAATATTACTGAAAATATTTGCGACTTAACTTTGTCAGTGGGGGACAGAAAAATGCGCTATGCGGAGGTAGAGTTGACCTGACTGTTTTTCAATCACTATCGCAGATGTGTGAGTATACAAATTTGATTTTGTTTTCTGTGCCTCTTTGGGGAAACAGACGGATTTTGAATAGATTTATCGATCAAGTAAATATTAAGATGTATGAATTTGTTTTGAATCAGTTTGGAGGCAATGCTCAGTATGTAGGTTTGAACTCTTTTTTAAACTCTTCCTTTTTTATTTTTCGAGCAAACACTTTAAAATTTATAGGAAAAATAAAAATCGCTGAAAAAATAACTCAACTTTTATCACAGAATTTTTTAATGTAAATTACAGCTGTGTCGTGTGTAGAGCGGATGGGGAAAATGGGGCTGTGAACGGGGAGTTGTTAATAAGACGAGAGCTAAATGTTGACTGACTTTATTTTATGAATTGTCATGTACAAATCAAATGCAATGTCAAGCACTAGGCATTGTTGCCAACTTAATACTATAATTTAGAGCGTGTAGTGCAAGTGGAGTAGAACACGCTACATCTCCCTTTTTAATTAGGTTTATAAACTAAATAAATGATAATAAATAAGGGTATAAAGAATAAATATATCACAGTTAATAATTATAAAATACGAGCATACATTTTTACATTTAGATCACAAACAAGTCAACAGCCGTCTTAATGACACATAATGATTATGTAAACAAAGAAGTAATTTTACAGTGAACAGTTATGACAAATTCTGTATGTACAGGATTTTATTTCTAATTCTAATATTAACTAAACCATAATTTAAGAATCACAATAATGTGTATTATTTAAATGACACATAGTTTGAAAGGTGCAAGGGTGCTCTACTTTTTCTGCCAGACTTTGTAGTGATGTTTTGACTATTAAATTCTTTTAAATCATCTGCAGAGCAAGTGGAACTTGTTGGTTTTGTATGTACAGGACTTTGATTATCCAGTTCAATAACTCCCGCACTGCTTAGATTTTCTAAAGAGCTATTTGACAGACTTCTAAAGCTACCATTGTAACTGCTAATTGGACTATCAAAATTTGTATTTTGACATTCCTCTGATTCTGAGTGAATAGAATGGTCCAGTTCAAGATTTATGTCATGGTTTATATTCTGTTCAGCGAGTCCTTTAATAGGACTGCTTCGTTCTACTTCTAAATATACACGTTTTACAACATTACTGTCACAGTCTGATTTATTGAAGGGTGGTGCAAAGTGTTTATTAATTGGTTCATTATTTACTCTTAAAAATCTTCTATTTCTTACTAACATTGCTCCATCCTCCGTTTTTACTTTATAAGATCTTATTCCTATTTTATTTACAACTTTGCCCTTTTTCCAGTTGCTATTAATGGATTTTTTATATAAAATTGATGTACCTTCCTCTAATTCTGGCAGGGACTTAACACCATTTTTGTCATAATATTGCTTTTGTTTAGCTTGTGATTTATCTATGAACCTGTCATAGTTGTCTTTTTTATACAGTCTAGGCTTAAAACAAACTTGTTGCTTGGGGAGTAAATCCCTCAATTGTCTATTATACATAATATTTGCTGGTAAAGCCAGTCCATCAAGAGGAGTATTTCTTAATGCTAACAGTGCCAAATAGGGATCGGAGTTATCAGCTTTACACTTTTTTAGTATGTTTTTTACTGTTTGAATAGCACGTTCGACCTCTCCATTAGATTGTGGATATCTAGGTGATGAACATTTATATTCTATGTCCCATTCTTTTGAAAATTTCTTAAACAAAAAGCTTGAAAATTCTGGGCCATTATCTGTTATTAAAATTCGAGGTATTCCATGACATGAAAATATTGTTTTTAAATTCAAAATTACATTTTCACTACTCATATCCCTATTCAGTTTTCTTATTTCTACAAATTTGGAATAATAATCAATAGTTAACAAAAAAGAGTCTCCATTAAAATGAAAAATGTCCGCAGCAACCTTATACCATGGCCATTTAGCGACCTCGTGCGGAATCATGGGTTCCGCAGAATTGGATTTATAAAATTACTGGCAGATACCGCAAGCCAAAACCATATCCCTAATAGCCTTGCACATGCCAGGCCAATAAAACGAATTATTAGCTTTATCTATACATTTGTTGACACCTAAATGACCTGCATGTAACTTTGTTAAAATTTCCCTACGAAAAGCTTTGGGAATTATTAATTTGACACCTTTATAGATTAGACCGCTCGCCAATGTCAACTCTGATCTAAATTTATAATAAAACTTTATGATCTCCGGAACAGATTTGATGTTATTAGGCCATCCATTCAAAATTTGTGATTTTAGAGTGGAGAGTTCTAGATCAGAATCAGTGAGCTTTTTAATTTCTTTAACTTTTTCTTCAGAAGCGTTTAATTGTTTTGAAATGAGACAAACTTGAGCTTCTAGTTCTAAGTCTACGTTTTCGTCAAAAAATTGATTTTCATAGGCTCTGGATAAGGTATCGGCAACAACCAAGTGTTTCCCTGGTTTGTAAACGAGTTCAAAATCGTATTTTCTTAATTGAATCAACATTCTCTGTAATCGAGCAGGACAAGAATTTATCGGTTTTTTAATGATTGAAATTAATGGTTTATGATCAGTTTCTACTTGAAATTTACGTGCAAAAACGTACTGATGGTACTTTTCACAGCCAAACCAAACAGCTAACAGTTCTTTTTCAATTTGAGCATAATTTCTTTGTGCCTCTGTTAGAGCACGTGAAGCATGAGCACACGGTAGATTATTTTGCATTAGTGAAGCCCCCATTCCATTTTGAGATGCATCAACTGAAAGTATGATGGGAATTTTAGGTTCAAAAAATCTTAAACATGGAGCTTTACTAATGATTTGTTTTAGATTATTAAAGCATTTATTGTGTGTCTCATTCCACGTAAAATGAATATCTTTTTTCAGTAATTCTCTTAATATTGCTGTTTTTTCTGAAAGATTCTCGATAAATCTGCCTACATACGTCACCAAACCCAAAAATCTCTGCAAATCCTTTCTATCTTTTGGTACAGTTATATTTCTTAAAGTTTCTATTTTAGAATCATCAGGTGT